ATGAGCCACAATCTATTATTGAATGTTGTCAAAGGCAATATTGACCTGAGTGGGTGGAAGCAATTAAAGACGAATTAGCTTCTCTGGCCAAACGAGAAGTTTATGGGCACATAACTCGATTCCTCGACAATGTAAAGCCTACTAGATATAAATATGTATTTGTTCGTAGGCGAAATAAGAAAAATGAGATTGTGAGATATAAAACTTGACATGTTTCCCAAAGGTTCTCTCAAAGACCTGGGAATATGATGAAATATATTTTCCTATTATGGATATGATTACGTTTCGTTTACAAATTAGTGTAGTAGACTATGAAATACTATAAATGTGTCTTATGGACATTGTAATTACATATCTTTCTGGCTTATTAGTCACTGATATTTATAAGAAACTATTCGAGGGTTCAAAATGTCGTGTGCATGCACACCCCATAACTTATTATCAATAAAGTTGCAAATATCTTTCTACGGTTTAAAGTAATCTGATCGCATGTGGTATCGAAGTCTAAGTGATTACCTAATTAACGAAGGGTACAAGAATGATTTTATCTGTCCATGAGTGTTTATTAAGAAATCAAAAACCAGATTTGCTATTAAAGAACTTTATATCGATGATATAAATTTAATTGGAACTCCATAAGAGTTAGAAAAAACTACTAAGTATTTGGAAAGAGAGTTTGAAGTTAGAGATTCAGGTAAAACCAAACTTTGTCTTGTCTAGAACTTGAGCATAAAGAAAATGGAATCGTTGTCCATCTATCAACATATATTGAAAGATTACTTAAACACTTCAACATGGATAAGGCTAATTCATTAAGCACCCTTATGGTTATAAGGTCTCTAGAACCCTTAAAAGACTAGATATAAGATTTCTAGATCCCTTAAAGGATTTATTTCGTCCAAAAAAAATCTGATGAAGAGGTACTTGGTGTACAATGCAATTGGGGCTTTTATATTGTTGGAACAAAGTAAAAGACCAGATATTGCTTTTGCAATAAATTTATTAACACGTTTTAGTTTTGAGCTAACTCGGAGACACTAGAATGGAATCACACCTATTTTTTGTTATCTCTAAGGAACCATAGATTTGAGATAATATTATTCCAATTATTCCACTACTTCTGATATAGTTGGATATGCTGATGATAGATATAAATCTGATCCACATAAAACTTGTTCTCAAACCGGTAATTTATTTTGTTATAATGGTATTAAAAGTTTTTGGCATTCTACCAAGTAAATGCTAGTAGCTAGATATTCCAACCACTAAGATTATTGCTTTATATGAAGCCGAAAGATAGTGTATTTTGTTAAGATATGTTACAACCACTACTAAAAAAAGCTTATTTGCGGCAAAATTTGGTGTTTACGATGGAGTTCGCGACAAAATTTGCGACTGTTATTACCCGTCGCAAATCAACTTTTTTGTAGTAGTGAACAAATATTAATAATTCTTGTAGTTTAACATCGATTACGAATTCTTCCACTATAATCTATGAAGACAATGTTGCTTGTATTACAAAAGTAAAGAAAGGATATATCAAAGCTGATAGGATCAGGCATATCTTGCCAAAAAATTTATATACTTTGAACTTCAAGAAAGTAGACATTGAACAAATTTAATCAATGAATAATCTTGTAGATTTTTTTATCAAATCATTCCCTTTGTCAAGTTTTGAGAAATTATTATATAGGATTGGTATACGGCGAGTGCAAAGGTGAAATATTAATTAACTCTAGTAGTAGTTATATGACTCATTTGAGGGGAAGATATTATGAACAAAGATCTATAATTTTTTTCTTTTGTTCGGTTTTTGTCTCAATAAGTTATTCCAGCTTAAGATTTTTTAACGGGGAAGAATCATTCAATGCATGATAATTAGAATGAATATTATACTCTTTTTCCTTCCCTAAAATTTTATTCTATTTAGTTTTTCTTAGCAATTCATAATATATACTCATCCAATAGGAATTGTTGTAAAATATTGTGGATGAAATTTCATATACTTCACAACATACATGATTCTTTGCTTTTTCATTACTTTTGATGTACTATATAACCATCAATACATTAATGGTGTATTGAAGTGTAATTATTCCCTTATTTACGTTTATTAGGATCCTATATAATGGCATAACTTATATATAAAAATATATTCGTGAATTCAAAATATTTTCATATTTTCTAAAGAACTCATGTTTTGATCTTTCTTTATTTTCTCTGTACACTTTCTTTCCTTTTCTTTCATATTTCGAATCAATATTAAAACATTCAATTTATCAATGTTATAACAAGAATAAACTGATGATAAATTTTCTTATAGTTTTTATTTATTTTTTATTTATTTTTTATTCAGTCTTTATTATTTCTTTTCTCTCTAACTTACTATTAATACATATAAATAATTTTAAGATAGACAGTACTATTATTATTATACGTAACGTCATGTGGATAACTTGGTGAGTATTTATTTTCTTTAATGTTTGTTCTTTTGCATTCTTCATTAAAAAACTCGAGCGGAAGTACCTTTTGTTTTCATTTTATTAAGTGTTAGTTTTATTTCAAGAAATGCTCATATACATATTTTTTTCTGTTTAATTTAAAATATCTAAAAAAATGGAATTAAAATATTAAGGCGTTATAACAAAAAATAATAATTTTTAAAGTAATATAGAGGTAACCTTATTATATTACTTGTTATTATCATGGTAATGTAGAGGTACGTGTGAAATTTTTGTCATTAATTTATCTGAATCAGATCCACATGGCATCAAATGTTCGTGTTGCCGTCTAGATCAATAATAAATTTTTGGTGTTACTATTGCACCAAAGATTAAGTGCATTCTCCTAATGTAAATATTACATGTTAGTCAAAATTCTTTTTCATCTGTCAAATTCTCTTTCTCTCCTCTTATGTGTAATGATCTCATTAGTTGAATGCACAGAATCTAGATATAACAATAATACCACAAATTTATTTCTAGATCAAAAAGAAAAACTTCAATACATCCGAATTGTCGAATTTGGTGTTCTTTTTTACTGAAATGAATTTTTCTTTTACACATACCTTTTTTATCTCTCTCTTTAAGTCCTATTTGTTTTTTTTCCTTTTAATAACATGGAGCACCAAAATTGATAATCGCTGTGCATTAAAGTTTTTCTCGCAGATTCAACAACACTTGAAAATAGCAAGTTGAGATTTTGAGATCTGTGCAAAATTAGTCAACGCGAAGAATAACTTCCAAATTAGGGTTATCGTATATAACAGAATATTAAAAGTACAGATTACTGTCACATGATCAAGGTATGTACGTGCCAATAAAAAATTGTGAACGATCTCAACTTTTTTTTTCTTGAGTAATAATTTAATTAGTTTAATTAATTGAATTTATAATTTAGTTATAATTAAATTAAATAATATCAAAAATAAAACTATAGTTAATTCTCAATTTAACCGGTTTAATTAGCTAATATAATTTCCTTTTTTTTTTTTGATAACAATATAATTTCCTTTTTAAATTACTGTTATGATGTCTTTCGTCATAGTTAACTTTCATGTATTACAATATGGGTTTAATGAGTGTCCTTTTAAAGAATATGAGCATATGTCATTTCACCCTTTATAATTACGTACTCCGGGGATTACATAATTGGATTTAATGTTGCTACAGTGAATGTAGATAAGTTATCTAAATTCACTCTCAAAATGACGTCGTTTTGAGTTGAAAAATTAAAAAATTATAATGAGAAAGACTATTATAACTCTGAAATGAATTATAATTACAAAAATACATTGATTTCCACCTCAAAATGACGTCGTTTTGGGCTTAATGTAGATATCTTATCTACATTAACTGTAGAAAAAATAAACTCTTACATAATTAAAAATAAATGTTATTTTTTTCTCTCTCTCCACGTCAGCAATAAGTTTTTGAAAAGTTTCTAAAGATAGAGGGGGAAAATCTTTAATATTATAATTATATATTCCCCGAAGTATATATTTATAAGGGAGTAAAAGGACATAAGCTTATATCATTTAAAAGGACAAATAATTTTCCCTTACAATATTGGTTAGAACATAATAACAACTATTTATTAACAAATTTGGCTGATAAAAATAAGAGCAACTATAAGCTATTTTAATTTTCAAGAGCTAATCTACCTCTATATTGATCTTTTAATATCATGTAATTGTGAATATAAAACTAGGTACGGTGCTTTCTTTCTTGCTAATTTTTTATTTTTTAAAGCAATTCAAATAATAAATTATAGAATTAATGTGATTTTCAAATATTTTAGACATTTAATACAACCGGTTGCTCCAAAATTGATGCACAACCACATGACAACAAGCACTCACAAGTTGCACCCTAAATTGATTCGCAATTAGTTACGCATTAATTTGGGCTCAACTCATGAAAGCTTGCCACATGACAATAATAAAAATAACATATAAATTTGTATATTACCCAGTGACCACCCTTGTATGTGACAAGTTCTTGCGAGTTGTGTCCGAATTGATACCCAACTATTTGCGCAATTGTTTAAGCGCAACTCAAGAAATCAGCTTGTGCCACGTGGCAGTTATGCATACATCTGGTTGCAAACCAATTTATGGGCAATTAGTTGCCTTAGTTACGCAAAATAATTGAAAATAATATTAATTCTGTAATCTATTATTTAAATTGCAATTTTTAAATTTTTTAAACTTTCTTTCTATGAATATTTCTGAAGTAACATATAATTATGCCCACAAATTAATATTTTTTAAATATCATACACAATAACAATAATGCGACATTGCCAATAATTCATCAACACACGTAGCAATTATAGTGCTGAGTCGGCAACAATAGATCAGCTCGAAATATAATATTGGACAATAATGCTTGTACAAAGTTTTAGTTCAAATGTCATGAAGAATTTCCATCCATTTTTCTATAAAAATGGTCATTGTACCGACAATTCATATACAAATCTAAAATAGTTTCATTTTTCTCTTCTGCAGCCTCGTTTTTTGAAGGGTGAAACAAATATGGCATCTCAAGTTGAAAAGCTGGAAACTGATGTGCACATTAAGGCCTCTGCTGAACAGTTCCATGATGTTTTCTGTAGCAGAACACACCACCTTGCCAACGTTTGCCCTGAAAAAATTCAGGGTGTTGAAATTCATGAAGGTGAATGGGGCACTGAGGGATCTATCGTCTTCTGGAATTATGTTCATGGTATGTGAATTTTAACCCAAATGTTTGACAACAAACTAGTAAATGCCTCTTGGTTTTATATTTAAGATTCAAAATGTTAAAAAATTGATAGGGAGAGTTTTGTTTCCCTCGTGGTTGTGCTGAGTTCAAAATGTGTTTTGTTCTGCCTTAGGTAGAGATGTCTAACCTGAGGTTAGATAGTTGATGTTGGATCTAGTGCTTTTTCTTTAGATACCTATGAATTAGGTATCTTGAGACAGCGAATCACGACACACAATATGACGGCCTTAGCTAGAGGGGGTGTGTGTGTGAGTTGTGTGTTTGCATAAAATAGGGTTAAAAGAGATCAGTCATACCTGTGATCTTTAGCTCCTATTTATAGAGTTTATATTTGGGCTTACGTCGTCTGGGCCCTTTATGGATATGGGCCTTATTCAAGTCCACAACATGTTTCAAAAGAACCACACATACTTTCATAGCCAAAAAAATTTGGATATAAAACTTGGGATAATTTGATGTAAATTAAAGTTTTTTCTTTAATTCTTTTATGAATTAATTATGAGTTAAGAATTTAATCTAGACTTTTAGTCAAGATATATAAACAATTTAAAATTATAATAGTATCTACCATTAATAATATGTCTTCATATAAATGGCTTACCAAAAACAATGTCTTATATAATTATTTACTTAGTTTACAATACCTCGTATAATTGATGAACATGGTTAATTATGGCTCCTCTTACTATGATCTAGTTAAAATGTGTTTGGTTTTTTGCTTTGGACAACAAAATAGATGGAAAAGCTTGTGTGGCTAAGGAGCTGGTTGAAGCCATAGACACAGAAAACAACACAATAACCTTCAAAGTATTGGAGGGAGACTTGTTGGAGCACTATAAGAGCTTCAGGATCACAATTCATGTTATTCCACAGGAGGAGGGAAGTGTGGCGCACTGGACCATGGAATATGAGAAGCTAAAAGACCACATCCCTGACCCTCACACCTTGTTGCAGTTGGCAATTGATGTCAGCCATGACATTGATTCTCACCTTATTGCCCAGGATCAGCAATAGATAAATATGGTTATATGAATAAAAGAACTCAAGTCTTATGCTATTTCTATATATTTGTGTGACAAATAAAAGATGATGTGATGTGTGTCTTGTTCAATGTGTTATAAATTATATTTATATTTGTTAAAAGTTTGTGCTTATATAGTCAGTTGGTAATAGCTAGGTGGGAGCTGAGATGTTGGGATGTTTCTGCTCCACCTTCACTGTGTTAAGCATAAAAGATTATGTGTTTAGTTAATTACTGTTATTTGCACCTACGGTATTGAAAGTCATGTATGGTTTTACTTTAATAAATTATGTATTATGAGATTTCCTCTATCTTTGTTGTTCAACTCAAGCAAAGCTTTACTATTAAAAAGGGTAAAGTGTACCCGGTTTTACCGTTATATTTTTTTTTAAAAAAAAAAAACTATTCTCCCTGATAGATATTAATATATTATCCTTGTTGATATTGGCCAATTTGCTTTATAGATACCAATCGGCAATCGGTTTCCACAGTTTGAATGGATCCGATTAATCCAATTTCCGAATGAGATAACATTTAATGAAAAAGGCAAGTCAACTATGAGGCAAGTAGACATGTCACTTATACAAGGTTCTCAAATTGCATTGGTACACCTTTTTTTTTTTTTTTTGTTGAAACAAAGGAAAGAAAACTACTGACGAGTCATTCTGGCCATCGCAACACCCTGACTATCGTTCAACAACAGATTTCTACAACCATAAGGAGGTAATTCAAACCAATATTTAAGCCCACTCTAGGTCGACTCCGTCGGGTCACTGGCATCCTCTTTTTCTGAGGGTTGGGATCAACAGTTAGACCTTGTATACACGTTGACCCCTCTGACTTCCAAAATCTTCCGATTGAACCCGTGACTCCTAGGTTAGAGGGGTCAGAGAGAGTCACTGCATTTTAAAAAATAAATTACACATGAAATGATGTTATTTGTTATGTAAAAAACAACAAAAAGTCGTTGTTGCCTAGATCTAGAACTAGATCTAAAATCCGAATCTTTTTTCTTCTTCTCTTTCGATCTTCTCTCATATACCCAGACCTAGTCTCCCTGATCCGGTGATCTCCTCCAATGTGGTGGTAGTTCTTTCTTTCATCTTCGGTCTTCTCTCTCCCCCTCCTCCGTTGTCCTGGTTATTCTCCCCCCACCGTTGATTCGTCGCGCCCGTTTCTCCTCCGTCATTCTCTCTTGGGTAAGGAATTTCCTTTGACAAGATATTGTAGGTGCGTGAGAAAGACAAGGAGAGCCTGAGTTTAATGATATAACTTTTCATTGACTCCATTGGAATATGTATTTATACTTTGATAGTTTGATAATTTGATTAGCTTGTGCAATATTGACTTGTGGATGTAATTGATTAAATTATATTAAGTATATTTTGAATGTTTGATGATTGGTGATTTTATTTTTTTGAATTTTTCATATAGGATATATATTTATATTTTTTAATGTATAAAATCGGATTGTGACTCTCGGATGAACCCATAACCTCTGACCTCGGCCGAATCGATGGCCGGGTCGAGTTTTGAAACATTGATTTCAAACTAATAGGTGTTCCAATCCACAACATCATCAAGGTGGATAGCCAACCAATCCGTAACACCATTACCCTCTCTATGAGTATGGATGATTTCAACTTTCCAAGGCATCGCAATCAGATTCTGGATTCTGTGCACCAAGGAAGAGCAAGGATGAGATCTGTCACAGCCTTCAATTATCAAATGCTTTGCCACCATAGAGTCCCCCTCCAAGATTACTTGTTTAAAACTTTCTTCCAAGCCCACTCGAGGCCTATTAAAGCTTTGTTTGGGAGTTTGGAGGGAAAGGGAAGGAAAAGAATTCAAGGGAGAGGGAAGAAAAGGGAAGGAAGGGAGGAGAAATGAAGGGTATTATCTTCCTTTGTTTGGGAGTTAAAATCTCCCAAATTGAGAAAATTTTAATTTTAAGAATAAAAAGAGTTTTCAAAGGTTTTGTGAAAATCTCTAAATTTTTCCTCCCACTTTTTTAACTCACAAACAACTTAAATCCTTCCTCCTATTTTTTTAAACTCACAAACAAGGGAAGAGATTAATAAAACTCTTACCTTTCTTTCTTTTTCTTTCTCTCCTAAAACTAACTCCCAAACAAGCCCTAAAGCTCCCCACAACTCAGACATCTGAACTGTGCCATACCACAATCTTTTGGAGAAACCCATTATCCATTCTCCTGTTTCATTTCGCTTAGCACCACCAGAGGCTAATTTAGTTACATCTTCCCTGCAAGAGCCGTCAGTATTAATCTTAATCCAACCTGGAGGGGGGAATTTCCACTTTACCAGGATCTCCTTCTTCGACACCAAACCAGAGCCAGACCAGCTTCGGAAAGGATCTCATTAGCAAGCTCAATATTCTTGACATGCAAAGAAACCTGCATAAAAATCTCCTGGTGGTTCAGACTTTTATTATTGAAAACCAAGTTATTTCTATCTTTCCACATAGACCAGCAAATAACCCGAAAAACCAGACTCCAAACTTTATTACGATGGTTCCTGCTAAGGTTTTTAGCGATTCAGCTATCCATAGCATCTTGAAAAAATCAGCCTGTGTTCCTGTTATCAATCCAGTAGGTCCAAACATCATGGGACCACCTGCACTTTCTGAATATGTGATCAATATCTTCCACGGGATAATGGCATCTGGGAGGAGTCTGGGACAGCTAGCATTGGCTCTCTGCATTGGTGCACCTTTGTTACTATTTTCTTATTGCTTAAAATCTTGCGTACGTAGCGGAAGATTTCATTTACATGGCAATAATTCTGTTGCGGTTAGCCCCATATAATATAATCTTATATTATGGTACATAGCCAGCCAGTTTCATTTTTCATTAAATTTGCATAATTGTTTTATGTTGATGCCATTTTTGACTTTGTATGTTGTCAATCATATTGTTGATTCTTTTAATAATTTATACTTCTGTTCAAATGAGGTAGGAATAAGTCGTCATTGTGTTAAGGGACGCAAACCCTCACAGCGGAGCAAGAACAGAGAAGAACGAAAGAAAACAAAAGAATAACGTTTCTGATTATTTTCTTTAATGAATGTCCCATCGGTTACAACTATGCTTTAATACCTTGACCCCAGAGGCTAATAATTGTCACTTCAATTATCAAAATATAAGCTACTCCTAATGTAACTGCTATATTGAAATACAACTATACAATTACACACATGCCATTGTAACACTCAATATTAAATTGCTACCTTTACTGCTACTCAAGCTATGCCTTTAATTCTCTTATATTGATATCGTAACATTGCCTTTTCCTCAAAAACGGACCTTGTCCTCAAGGTCCATTGAAATAAAAAAGAGAGTAGAAATCCTTTTATATAGGCTGCATAGACTGCATATTTTTCTGCTATATCTATAGGTGTAGTCGTGAAGATCACATTGCCAAAGTAACCTGGTGGGAGGAGAGGTTGCAACCTTGACCTTGTGATGGTCGCGATATGCTTCCCTTGATGGAATGCCTGCTCCAACTCAAGTTTAGTTGGCTGTCTTGATCCATCACCAGCATAAGTTCACGCACCATATGGACTTCCACCTTTCAGTTCCTCCATCTCGAACATTCCAGCACCGAATGTATATCCAATTGGAACAAATAACATTCCATGATGAACTAACTGAGTTATAGCAGTAAGCGTTGTAGTCTCTTGTCCACCACCTTGGGAATTGGTGTTGTAGAAGATTCCAGCAGGCTTTCCTGCAAGCTGTTGAGTTTTCCATAAACCCTCAGTTGCATCCAGAAAAGCTTTAAATTGAGCAACCATCATTCCAAATCTTGTTGGGAAGCCAAAGACAAAACCTTCACCCTCAGAGAGTTCATTGGGGTTAATGATTGGTACAACACTCTTGGGTGGTGCTCTCATCTTACTAAGCACCTCATCTAGCAATGTCTCAGCTACCTGCCATAGTTTGGCTTCAACACCTTCAACAGAATCAACCCCTTTCTTTATTTCTTCTGCTAGTCTCTCCACATGCCCGTACAATGAGTAGTACCTTGACCTTGTAGCAGTTGCAATGTACAATTTGGTCTCTTGATCATTAACAAGTGCTCTTGCTCTGCATACCCTTTTCCACAAGTGACCAACCAACATCTCATAAGTGCTATAAGTGATTGTGGTGCCATGTTCTTTGGACTTAGCTTTCAGTATGCTGAGTTGGTCACGAGTCAGTTTGAAAATAGAGACAGCTGCATAATCTAAACCTGATTTTGTTGGTTGTAGGGAAGTCTTTATGGCTGCAAGAGTCAAAATAGCCTCCAACACATCAGAAAAATTCACCACTTGAGCTTGCCGTAGCTGCCTGTGGAGGGATGATGTCTTCCCAACAAGAGTCAAAATAGCCTCCAACACATCAGAAGACGCAAGACTGGCAACCAGATCATTGTGTGATTGAGAACAGATGGCAAGCCAATATTCAACAGACCCAGTTTTTTGATTACACAAAACAACAGCAACAGAGTTACAATTTTTTACAACTTTATTTGTCCACACAGACGATGGAGCAAGAAAATGTATGAACCCCCTGGGTCCCAAGCAAAATGGAAGACAAAATACAGAAGGAAAAATGAAACAGAATCTCGAAGAGAAAATTTTGAAAATGGGTCTTGAAGAATTTCATCAAACACATGTGTTGCATATCCCGCATTTAGGCTAGGAATTTCATCAAACATGTGTGTTGCATACCCATTCTTGGCAAGATTCGACTGCACGTGGACTTTGAAGATCCAATCGGATTTGGGTTTCCTCATCTTCTGTAAAATCTGTGCACAACCCTTCTTCATCGTGTTCCCAACTTCCGAATGAGACCACTTCAATCCTTTCATCGGCAAGGAAAACTTGTTCCCATAACCCTTGCAATGTTGACCTCTGAGCCTTGGGACCTGGAAATTTGAGGGTGTTGTTATAAGGAGAATGTAAGAACCCGCACCGTTAATTAAGGTATTTA